AGGACCTTCTTGGCACATCGCAGGATGCTATCAGCCGCGCTGCCCCAACTCCGCTGTATTGGCCCGTTTGGATCTGGGAGACCGACTTCCATTATCCTTCGCCTGAGGTCACCCTTCTCCGCTTGGTGCTGCTTCCACCACCGGATTCTCCTCTCGGTTCTTACCTTTGTCTTTTTGGGGAGGTCTATCGCAATGTTTGCCAGGAGGGGCCTGTGCTGGGGAGCCAGATCTTCGCCGGGTAGAACTTTGATATCCTTCACAGTCTTGAAGGTTGGTCTTCTTACCAGCACATGGTCGATTTCCGTCTGTCTCCCTCCGCTGCTGTAGGTTACCTTCTGAGATTCTCTTTTCGCAACGTGCTGCAGATTGCCAGATCGTGGGCTGTAGCCAGGTCCAGAACCCTCTCTCCCTCAGCGTTCTTCGTTCCTATCCCTCTACCTCCGTGCACTCTTTCTAAGCCTCTTCTGTCACTACCGATGTGACCATTCAGGTCACCTGCCATGGTCAGGTAATCATCTTCCGGAACCGATCTTATGGCTTCGTCCAGGCTCAGATAGAACTCGGCCTTATCACTTTCGGGGCACCCGGCTTGGGGTGCGTACACGGAGAGTATGGTCCAGTACCCCTCCTTCGTGTCTATCCTCACAGCCATGATCCGATCGCTGATCCTGTTCACAGCGGAGACATAGTCCTTGAGTGACTCCGCTACCGCTATGGCCACGCCGTTCCGCTTGGTGTCTTCTCCATTGTAGCTGACAGACCAGAGAAAGGCCAGAGAAATCGGGGAAGGTGAGCTTGACACCTTCCCCGATTTCTCTGGCCTTAGCGCTTTTCCATCGCGTCTCCTGAAGGCACAGGATTTGAATATTCCTTCGCGTCATCAGACAGCAACCTTTCGGGACTTCCCAGTTAGCGATACTACGTTCAAACTCCCAATTCGAACTAGCTTTTTTGGCCGAGGCCGTTCACTCCTCGGTAGCCCTCGCATACTGACCACAGAACTCGGGTGGGGGTTCTGCGCGCCACTTCCGGGTGACGTCCTAGCTTTATCACTGATTCCTTTTTCGACTTTAGACATATTTGTTGTGACGGGGGTCTTCATCAGCCGGCCTGTCAACCTGGGCCTGACGCTGGTACTAGAACCATTTTTGCAATTTTTGCAAGGCATGGTTTAGAACCTCGGCAGGGATCGAACTCGCGTTTTTCAGAAGTGCAGACATGAGTCTAACCTCTTAACCACTCGGCTATCCCTGCCTCTAGGCGGGCTACAAAGCTGAAGTTCATTTTTGCTGAGCGGCCGCTAGAGGTCATAGTGTCCAAAAAAATAGTAGGAGTAGATGGTTTTCACAGGATTTCGGTAAAAATTGAGCTATAAGGGTTACTGATGGTTACACCTACTTTCAGCACCAGCGCTATTTGGAACAAATCGATTAACTCCAATCCAAAATGCGAAAAGTTTGTCATCACAGGGAATGAACTGCGCACCCATTTCTTTATCACTTCACGGGGTCATTCCGTGAAAATGGATCTCGGTTCAGTTGCCCACTCATGAGTTCTTACATCACGCAGAGAACCGTTTTTAAAAACAGTTTCCATGTGTGACTCTCAATGAATCTTGGCATGAGTCGTAGACGAATATTCAGATATAGTGAGATAGAGCTCCAACCGAAAGATTCGATAAAGCAATCTTTCTTATATTGCGCTTACGTTTTTCGCGCGCTTTCGCCTTCTTCAGACGCCTGGAAAGAGCAGAGCATTTTACGAAACTACCAGGTCCAAATACTATTTCAACCTACAACGAATCTCGCCATCAGCAGGCGTAAACGCACTAGCGGCGACAGTCCGTGGGACAAGAAAAAGACAACTAAACCTTTTAGAAAAGTCGACCATGAGTGTCCACCTGCAACCCTGAGCTGACTTATGCGGCTTTAAATGGGCAGTGACCTCAATTGCGTCGACTTTTCTAAAGGTTATTGTCTTTTCTGTCCACGACGTCGCCCTAGTAGTACCAGGGTCAAGCGTGCGCTTGAGGAATCCTCGGACACTTCGCGAGGGGGGGGGTCGTATTGGCCTGCTGGGTGGCGAGCAGATCGCAGCCATTTTAATGCCGAGTGGAGATCATCACCGCGACGGAAGACAAATATGCAAGATTGAGCTCGATGCCAGGCCAGAGATTTCCAATGAAAAACGATATTTCACCCACACAAAATGTTAGTGATTGAGAGCGTCCGGTAATCTGAGTACTTAGTGTTATTATTTCACACACAAAATAAGAATCTTGAATTTCGCTACGCTTTCCAAGAGATATTTCATCTTTCAAGTATAGACGAATCTTTGAAGGGATGTTTTGGTACACACGGGCTATTATGTGTTTGTTTTGCGCCGCACTTCAAGCTACGGCTCTTGGAAAACAAACTCAATTCAGGAAGCAATCGAGCGGAATTCTGATAAAGTGTCCGTGCGCATTTACAGGCAGGTTGCATACTACCATTGCAACACTGCGTTAAACGAACCTGCAGTTAAAGGTTATAAAAATGTAACCTTTAAGTTTGAGAAACACATCTGTATCAGTACTGTTTCTTAGAAAGAAAAGCCGTGATTTCAAATCTCTCTTATTTTGGACATAATTCGCCCGTAAAAGGATACTACATGCGTTGAAATAGTGTCAATGTAGCGAAAATCCTTTCGGCGGTGCAATTCGTGCGAAAATCCTCAACCGTAGCCGTTTTTTAATACTGGACGTTGGAGCAGTTCGAGTAAACCGTTTGATTAGAGCAAATCTTCTAGTTTCTTTGCAAGGCGTATTCATTTGTGGCGGATATGGATGAGTTTGACGATGTTAAGGCTATTAGCGAAAATAAAACAACTAACGCGCATCAATCACAATTTTCCTCTTAATTTTGCAGAACAGATAATCCTCAACGTCGGCCATTTTTCGCAATACTGGACGTATACAGCTGATTAAGCAAGTCGGTTCGGTATGAGAAAATGTTCGTAGTTTTGTAAGTCCATATTTAATCTCGAATCTTAAACGATTAAATTAAGCAAGTTATTGCTTCAGAAAGGTGGTAAAAAACTCGTGCTCGTCTCAAATTTTCCTCGTTATTTGATCTAAAGTTGTAATTGTTCTCATAACCTTCTGATAATTCAGAGCTGATTAGACAGAAGCTCTTCCAAAAACTTCCAAATCTCGCTTTCAGATTGAAAATTCGTCATGTTTGAAGAATAGCTTATAATATTCTGAATATTTGGTTCAAATTTTCAATAGGAAATAGCTGCCTCCACGGTCAAGCGCCAAATGTCCAGCAACCACAGTGGCGAAGGCGTCGTTCAAGAAAAGCTTCTCTCAACGAAGGCTACCGTGCAAATTGGAACCACAATCTGTTTAGTACGATAGATTTGGACAGTCTTGTGTAGGAAAATAAATAAAGAACAGATGTGGCATGGGTAATGTCCATTTTTAGCGACCTAGTTTGTCGTTTTCTGGTCTTGCTTCTCGTTACTCCGATTGATGAGGACTCATCAATAAATGATTAGTCTTTGACTTTTCACTTTGTACTTCTTAACGAATTTTTTGTGGGCGGTGGCGCGTTAGATGGCTTTGGATGAGCAGTTTTGGGTGAGAATTAAACAAGCTTTTCAACCTTTTCAAGGCGGCTTTGAGCAGCGGTTGGCTTTCATGGATCTTCGCCCTCCGGCGCAGGTGGTGGGGGGGGGGGGCTTGTACTGTCCAAATTGCCTTCAAGCTCGCTATTGACCCTTGTAGTTTACCCCTGCTGAGCGATTTTGTAGGTTTAAATAGTATTTGGACGGGTAGTTTCGTAATGGCTTTCCTCTTTCCAGGCTCTGAAGAAGGCGAAAGCGCCGAAACGTAAGCCAAATAAAAGTTGTTGGTTGGAGCTTATTCACTATACTGACATATTCGTTTTTAAAAACGTTCCACACTCTGTAGGACTTCCCGCAAGAGCAGGCCTCAGCCTCATGACAGGTCAAAAAAGAAATGATTTTACCTTGTCAGCTGTTGTATGCTCAATGTCAACCCATGTTTCTGCAGCATTCAGCCATAACATTCCAACGGTTCTTTTAGGGTTTAGAGCAACCTGAAAGTATTAGTCGTAATTCACAATACTTGTAAGGCTGGTGTCAGAGAACGCGAAACATCACGAAAATCGCAGAAACCGCAAGGGTCTCATTAGAACTTCGTGTTTCAGCCTTGCGAATCTACCATTTTGCACCAAGTATTAGAAAAAAATATCAGAAAAAAACGGGATTTTTTGGGAATGACAACTTTGAGCTAACCATGTAGGGTATAGAGCCATAGAGAGCCATAGGACTGTTCAAGTCATATTCGAATACATCAAGGTTGTAAAGTCGATACGGCTCGTAGTTCCTGTAATTATGCTGAATTGCACTCATATTTAGTTCTCGCTTTTACGGGTTTAATTGACAAAGACCATGAAGAGAGGGTGCAGATTATGGAAACATAGAAAGAATGTAAAATCTGAAGAGGAATTCATGAGCTCGAATCCTATGCCGTGAGCAACAGCCTACAATCAAAGGAGTATTGCGAGATCCAATTGGTAAAGGCACGGGTCGGGATCGAAATGGCGTGTTATTTCGAATCAGACAGGAAGTGCGATGAGGAACGACAAGAAAAAGTTAGAAAAATGCGATAAGAAAAAGCAAGAAGCGCCATAAAAGTACAGAAATTTCCTTTATGAGGACGGTTGTGGTATGACTGAGAGACTAGCGATGCGAGAAGAGGGAAACCGTGAGAGAGCATGTGTACGCGAGAGGGCGCAAACGCCACGTGCGTCACGATTCATGGAGTGGCACTGCAAAGGCATGTCCCCCCTGATTCACCGCTAATGAAAAAAAGCAGAGAAAAGCCAAGAATCCTCAAAGACGGCGGACACAACGGCTGGAGTGGAGCGATTTGTTGTATCTTCATCAAGCGCGCTTGGTGGAACGGCGTTAAAGGCAAAACTCAGGACTCAATTGATATGGTGATTCCACTCAGATGTGAAAGTAGGGGTAGGAGTTGGACCAGCAGTGGAGAAAGAAGGACGAAAAAATTGTGAAATACACAGGAAATACGAGCCTTTTGCTCTACGCTGCGGAGAAGTTCAAAAGGCGGGCAGGAAGATGAGAGGTCATGTGAACGCGGAGAGCGCTAGAGAAGTACGTGTAGAGAGAGCATAGCAGACCAAGTTCGCGACGCAGATAAGATAACGAGCAGAGGACGGAGCGTGTCTCAACTGGTGGAGCGTGCCGAAGTTCTTGGCGCCCAGCGTCTAAGTAACGCTTTTTGAGATAGGGGAGTGAAGAGACCTCTGCAGTTGCGTACCCAGCGGTTCTAGCCACAGTAAAGGCTCACTAAGTAAGTCGGAGCCCGAACTTTGCCTTTAAGGAGGTGGTCCTCACCACGCCCCACTCGCTGAGGAGTCTGACCCACTAGTGACGTCCAATAACGTCAACAAAACCACCCGCTCCAGCCATCGTGCTCATTGGATTCAGAAGGTTTATATGATGAGGCTGTTGAGTGTGTATCAGAATTTTTGGACATTGACAAAGTTGGTATAAAAATATAGTGCTTTTCAGGGCTAAGTATTCTGAAATTTTCAAATCATATTGATCACAACCAACTTTGTGTCACGTAATGCGTACGATTCTGCGTGCTCCGGCAAACCATAGGCGAATCTCATTCCGATCAAGGCTATGTCGACACCGACCGATGATGAACCTAAATGATTAATCGGTGAAATACAATCTCTTCGTGCTTATCTTCCTTTTTTAGCCTTACCAAAAGGTTTGCTATCTTTATGCTCCTTAAAAGTCTCTTCCCAATATCCTTTTTCGCGATCGGTCAGGAGGACCTTCTTTTTGAATGGTTCCACCATTAGAAGTCCAGCAGAGTTGATGGAAGTCACCTAAACCTCGATGACTGTAGCATATATAGGCATTTCGTATACCTTGTATGTAAGGGGGCAACATAAAAAAGGGAGAGGGCAGGGTTAATTTGGAACCGGTTCCTTATCCTCAATAGTGAGATTAGGGTCCACCCTTCTCCATAAAGTAGAAAAGATTTCTCAGCAGTCAACATCGCAGCCTGCAACCTGCACTACCGTATTCTAGAGGATTAATGCGTATTTGGGGTCCGTTCTGAGATAGCTGATAGGGTTGCAGGACTCTTCTAGTATTACAAGTTTGTAAGCAGGAGAATTACCAGTATATCCTTCGAGTAAAAGTCAATACGGAACGGACTATGTGTGATGACAACACGGTGACCATCATGCGTCAACAGCTTTGAGACCGTCTTGTCCGTTTTGCTCTTTTTCAACCTTAAGCATCAGAAGTTTACTCATAGTGCTTCTCGCAATAATCAATAAAATTGAACTTACTTTTGCTGCTTTGGATCTTTTTCCTTAAGAGCATCCAGTGGCCTATAGCGCTGTCGAACGGCACCTTTTGGTTCATCAATGACTACTCTGAAATTTAGGAGCAAAGGTAAATGCAAATGGAGATGAAATAAAGTTGCACAGTTTCAATGATGACTGAATGTTAGCCAGTCCCGTTTTTCTATACCTCCATCACAATTGGGGCGGAAATGGTGTAGTGGCAAATGGCACGCTTACCACGCGCGCGACCAAGGATGAAATCCTGGGTCATGCTTCGTCCGGGCCAACCGAGCCTTCCATCCCTCCGGGGTCGGTTGGTTGGTAGACTTGTCTAGAAGGGTAAAAAACACTGACGCAGTAATCGCCATGACTGGAGGGCGGTGCCCTTTTGACGGTGTCTCTGAACGTAATTGGTGGATGAGGGTGCAATTGATTGTACCCATCTCTACCGCAATCTTCCTTCATAGGGTGAGGCGCAAGACCCGCCCACACTATTAACTAATCTTGGCAGGTTTTTTTTTGCTTTCTTCATTACTGGCGTACCAACAATCACGACAGTAGGTGCTTTCACAAAAGACAATCTTGCCTCTTCAATCGCGAAATGCACCTTTAGGCTTCCTTACTTGTTTGGTGTGGAAGTGGTGGAACTTGGATCAAGGTCTATTTTGCACCAAGATAGAAGAACCTGCAGTATATTCGTAATTGAGAACATAACGTGGCATACCATTAGGCTCGATAGAGATAATGAGGGCATGTGGAGACAACCCCGACCTAGGCAACTGTGGCAAGTACCTTCAGTAAAAGTTACCTCACTCCTAAACAAAAGTGACTTTCAAGTAGGTACACGCCAAAGCTTGTTCACACCAATTTGACTTCCAGGAGCTTCACCTTTTCTTAAAAGTGGGATGTAATCGCTACAGTTGCACGGGACGAGAGACTGTGAAGGTAGTGCTATGGCATCGCACTCTGCCTCCTTTATAAGGAACACTATTTCCACCTTAAGTAGTAAACTCCCACGGAATGCATCCGAAAATAAGCAGAAAGGAAGTAGAAGTTTACCTCATGGGTCTACTATTGTCATAATCGTAAGAATTCATAACACAAACGAATTCAAATCAATTGGAACATTTTACCGGAAGGTTGAATCTTCTAGAGCGACGATGAAGAGATCCAAGGTAAGATCCTGAAAGAAGTGAATACTAATGTATCAATAATAAAAAATCGCATTTTCGATTTGGTTAGCGTCGAATTTTTGATTGAAGCTAGTAAGAATGATTCGAACCTTGTTCTTGAGTTGGGCGGAAAGCGCTGTTTCATTGATGCTCACAGAATCCTCAACCACTTCGTATCCAGTGGGCTTAACGTCGCGTTGCCTCCTTGAATAAGCAACAGCTTACTTCAAAATGTAAGAGTAAAGGAACTGATGAAGGGGAGGGGGAAGAGATCGTTCAAAACATGGAGACTTTCCAAAGTGGTTCTTGTGTTACAGGGGCACATGTGTGGGAAGAAACACGCTTCATTTTCCCTGCTCTTTTCCAGTAATTTCAACGAAGCAATCGAAAACTCTCAAGCACAGAGTTTCAACTGTCTTAGGCTGTTGTACATATATGAACTGTAGCATGGAGTACATGCACTATAAATGGCTGTTATGAACAACGTGGAAAATGGTGCAAAATTTGGCTTAAAATGAAGTCTTAAATATGGCATGTAGTGGTAAGACCGTGGAGGTTTCACAAGCGGTAGCAGTGCATGGATATTTGTGACAGCCTGGTGGTGTTCCGCGACGTGCCTTCGTTAGTACCCTCTTTTATTCCACTACAAGGGCTCTATAGCGTTCTGGTCAAAAATATAAATTCGTTCTAGACGAAGGCACAAGCAGGCGTCATTTTTTGCGCTACATTTTCTACAAGTTTTCGAGTTCAGAGATCACTGATGGACCACTTTATCACCGTACACTACATTAAGTGTACTTCACATCCGAAGTGCTAGCTCCATCTGGCGCCAGTTTTCAGGACAAAAAAGATAGGTAATCGCTACTAATCCCTTTGGATTGGTTGCAGTACTGACCTGATCATGGATATGGCATCCGAATTCGGTCACATACCCCAACCCCTAAGCGCTAAGCTAAATTTAAATTTAAGATTTTGCCGAAGGAATCAAACCATTGGTGAACCCTTTACTTTTTTGGCTCTATCAAAACCGTTCAGCGAAAATGAAACTCGGTTTTATGACCCATTTGCATCTCTCTGCAATATGCAAAAAACCGTCTCAATGAAGGGCGGCTTTCCTTTAACGACTGTTCCTGTCCGAGGCAACAGTGCAGATCATCTCTTAGAGGACGGCCAAAATGATCATGGGTGGAGTCAAGTCGACGAAGTGACACCGAAGCATAAGTCCAGTTTTTGTATCTAAGTGGTGTCAAATAATTCGATGAATTGTCGATTCACTTGCTCCAATTCTATTAAAGGCAAACCCCGGGATTAGCCCGAATAGTAGGAAGTATACCGCGAGGGAAATTGTAAAACCCGTACCTACCTAGATCACTTCAACTTGGTCGCGAAAATCGCGTGGTTAGGGCGCTAATCCTTACGGGTCTCCAACCATCGAACGCTTCCCACCCACCGCGAGATGTGGTGAGATCAGCGTGCATTGATGTAGAGATCAGCGTGCTCTCTCAAACGACGTTCTCTCTCGCGTGTTTTGACCTCTCTGATCGCCCTGTCTTGCCGTCGTTCCACATCCGACCTTTTTGAAGGTTAAGGCCTTAAGTTCAGTGTTTCCAAAGAGTTTTCCCGCTTCCCTCTCCACTTTAAGGTCGCTCCGCAGCTAATCTATCACTACGAAGCGCTCCTAGCACCGGTTTAATTCCGGAGTTTGCTCAACCCATTGGCGACCATTCGTTTCTCGCGTGCCTACCACGTGGGACCACGCCTTTTTCGATATTTTCGAGAAATGTGTCATAATGCAGCAAATTGCCGCCACCAAAATATTGAAGCTCGAAGCAGATACTCGCAAGTCTACTGTTGCCGATCGCTGCCAGAATGAGCGTAAAACTTTTCGTTTTGTCCAAGTGATTTCGCAGCGAGCCGAAAACACTTCAATTTTTTTATTCTAAAGTCCGTATATTGGGTCGGGATCCTCTTTTTGTGAAAAGTTGTATCACCTCCTTTGCTAATGGAAAACAAAAAGCCAGCTTTGCACACTCGAAAATAGCAAGCTTTCATTTGTAAATCACTTTCAAGATCCCTTGCGTAAAACATCAATTAGGGAAGATATGCAAGGACCATGATTACCATAAGTACTGCAACGACTTTCTGATTAATATGCCACTAAAATGATTTTGGAAATCTTGCGCAGAAGAATTATCTCCATGCTGCGTCCCCACATCGAGCCGCAATGTCGCCATGGGTACATCAGGTCCCGAAGCAGGCTATCTCTCATAGAGCCTCTTAAAGGCAAAATTCGAGCTTAAACTGAAGGTAATCCTACTCAAATGTGATGTAGGTGCAGGAGGTACACCGCGAATAGAGAAAAAAGGGAAAAAAAATTTGTGAAATACACAGGAAATGCGAACCTTTTGCTCTACGTTGCGGAGAAGTTCAAAAGGCCGCCAGGGAGATGAGAGATAACGTAAGCGCGGAGAGCGGTAGAGAAATTCGAGAAGAGAGAGGGTAGCAGATCAGCATTGCGACGCAAACAAGATATCAAGCGGTGGGCGGAGCGTGTCGCAACAGGTGGGGCGTGTCAAAGTCCTTCTCCCCTAGCGCCTTAGTGACGCATTTCGGTGCGGGAACTTTGCGAGTCGCCTGCAGTTGCGTCCCATGCGCTACTTGCCACCTTAAGGGCTTATTAGGTGGGTCCGAGCCCGAACATTGCCTTTAAGTTTACACCTTGATTTATCCTGACTAGCCTACCTTTGTAGTTGGATAATCTACATAGGCCCACCTAGACCTTTCGCTCTGCAACCTTTACGGACTCGATTTGAGTGCTTTTCTGAATGGAGAGAAAACAAAGGTGATGAGAAATGGTTAGCGGTCTGAGTTGCTTTCAGAAACATCGAGAGAGTAGTGAAGATGAGAAATGGCGCTCGACTCTGCGACCTTTTCGATTACGCGGTCCTCCGTGTGTGTCCTAGAAACCTTCGCGTATAGAGTGAGAGTAAAGTTACCGCTATGCAACGCACTGTCGGACGAGACAATGATGGGTTTCCCTTCGCTACCAGACAATAGCATGAAAGTCACATCCATAAGAGGATATTCCAGCCAGATATAGCGACGAGCCCTTCTCAGGACACGTTCTATACTCGCCTAGGTCAGGACACCAGAGTTACGCCATCATTGAAGACCAGGCTAAGCTTCAAGCTTGGGCTTAGGCTGATGCTTACACATTGGCTCATGCTCAGGTTCATGATTGGGCCTAGGCATAGTCTACTGGTGGATTGTTCGAACAAATGAGTGGGGTCCCAATTAGGTGACCTTACCTGAGGAGAATTCAAACGCCCCAACCCCCCCCCCCACTCCCCCACTCCCACTTCTCCATTCGTTCTGATTCCTACAAAATGAAATCTTGTTGTCTGGATAGTCTTGAACAAAATTGAACTAGACTGACATTTTTGTCATTTGCTTCCCTCGCGCACTGGGACTGAAGTAATAACAGAGACCAGTTTGTTTCAAAATGTTGCTCGATAACGGAAATTTGAAAAAAAAAGTTTCAATTTGTGAAATATTTTCAGCGAAGCACTTTGATTCCAAATTATTTCTTTCTTTTCGCCTCCTTTCAACATTTGCTCGCTAATTCATCTCAGAGAACTGAGCGCCTTGCAGATCGGCCAAACCTGTTACCGAACAGGATCCGAAACTGCCACGTGTACAGGTCGCACTCCTTGTACTACATTTCTTTTTCTAAGATCACCAAAGCATGACCATGGACTTGAGAAGAACACGTACGCAAAAGAATAATAATAACAACAAGAAAAATTATAGAAGAAATAAAATATTGCAGTAGAGAATGACCTGTGCATCTACCTGGCCAAAATGCTATTCCTTAGTGGTTCTCGAAAATAGTAATGTAATGAACCCTCACTTGCAAAAGCCTGATTGTTCGCAAATTTTGAATTTGAGCCGATCCACAGCGTTGACAATCGCCAGCAGGCCAAGAGTGAGAACGAGAGCCTCTCGCATCCTGTCACAAGATCATGAGGTGAGAACTTTCATAGAAAAAAAAAGACGAAAAAAATCGAGGAATACAAAAATACAGAAATACAGAAAATACGGAAGTTCTCAATGAGATGTGAATGTTGAACGAAATCTCGACTCAATGAAAAGTACAAGAAAAAAGTGATATTTCGGTCATGGCATTCAAAAAAAGAGTAGTTTGCGATTGAAGATCGAGATGATGCAATAACGGCAAGAAACCTTGTGCGACGTTCGCTAAGAGAGTTCTGCTTTGCTGCGACCGATCGCCGCAATTGTGGGGTTTCTGTGTGAGGGGTGGAGCTGACCATGAAACTGCGCCGCCGTGAAGAAAAGATGTGTATCGCGCATCTCGGCGACCTGACCTATACGTCCCTCACAATAATCACTGCGAACACATTGAAGTGAGCCGGAATGAACGAGGAACCTTTGCAAACACAGAAACTCTTTGGCATCTAGTAATATTGGTCCCTAGTGAAGAAATGGTAGCACCGAACTGACCTCCGAAACACAGGAGGGCTTGCTGTTGTTCACACAACTAGTCTGTGCAGAAAAGAAAACCTTCATTAGTTAGCGGTCACTTCTATTGACCAAGGAGGTTTGCAGCGAATTATCCGTATCACCTGTTATCTTATTGCAGGTCAGGTCTAATCGGTTTGTTACTTTTTCAAAATTTTTGACGACCCCCCCCCAAAGGACTTGATACGACCCTCTTTCGACACATCGACTACCTCGACGCCACCATCCATCCTACCTATATAATTCTGGTACCACTCAACACTCCAAACTCCGCCCACTTTTTCCTCCAAAATTGCTGTCGAGCGGGGGTATACACCCAGAAACAGTAAAAATTCACCAAATTTCCTAAATTTCAACCAATTTACCCCACTTCTACCTATAATCCCACTGCTTCATTTTCTAAGGGGGTATATACGCCCGCTGAAACGGCGAATTTATCTCCCGTGCGCTCCCAACTCACCTACCCTACTACTCGTGAAAACTCCACTTTCACCACAAACTCATATGTACTTTCACGCGACTGAAGCGGATACGACCTCCCCCTCCTATAAACTCAACCAGGAACGACCCCCCCCCGTTGTTACTAGTAACAACGTAGGGTTGACCCTGTCTTACTGCTCAATAAATTCCTCGAGCTGCCAGCAATGTCTTCATTCGTTTGTTTGTGCCAGAGCGCCCCATCGAGTACACCTCCGTCAAGCACGCAGCAGTACAAGACACAGCGCCTCATTTTACGCGGTCGTAAAAACTCTGAGTATTTGGTGCATTCGTTTGACGTTTACAGAAGGGGTGAGGGTTCAGTCGGTAACCGCCAACATTCCCCGCTGAATTGTATTAGTTCGTATCACTTGATCTTCCACTCTTCGGCGAGCACCTCAGCTTCTCTGATATTTGGATCTGACAGAATAAAACAGCTAACCGTCTGCGGAGAGTGAATTTGAGCATTGTCCTCTCCATTGTGCAAGCATCAAGCAGCATTCCTTCTGCCTGCTCAATGTTCGACTTTAAAGGCGCGCTGTCGATAGCGAGAGGTTACGGTAGGGTTGGACTGTGTTCAGTTGGAATTGGGGATGTCAAATTATGTCCCGGTAGTGAAAAAAAGCAGAGAAATCCGTCAAGAAGCCGCATGATAGGACCCTTTCTTTGCCCGTTGACCTCCGATAATGGACGCTAGCATCCGATTTAGAGGTCTACTGCACATATCGAACCAATAGTCACCATCATAACAGCAAAGGCCATGCTTTGATTGACAATGTGTTACATGGAAAAGTGTTAGGTTACACATTGGAAGTGGAATATCTAATTACTCTATTTTCCGGTGTATAAGCCCCCTAGTATCATGTAAAAACACCTCCACTGGTGCAGCGTACTTGAGTACATCTAGAGTCAACCGTAACATGCCCATAGGGGTAATTCGATACGCTGATCACGAAAACGACATTCGTTTTTAGCGGTGGCGGCATCTGGCGCCAGTGGCGCCACCTTGTCACGACCCTTGTTTTCGCCAAAATCGGTGTAAACTTCAGTATAGGGGTATTGGACCGCTGATTACGAATATGACATTCGTTTTTGGCGTTAACGTTGTTTAGTGCACATGTCTCGGTTGGAGAGCGCAGACGAGCAGAAAATAGGCGTCAAACAGCGCCAGCGCCTATAATGAATGTCATATTCGTAGGGTCCCAAATAACCCCTATACTGAAGTTTACACCGATTTTGGCGAAAACAAGGGTCGTGACAAGGTGGCGCCAACTGGCGCCAGATGGCGCCAGCGCTGAAAATGAAAGTCATTTTCGTGATCAGGGCATCGACTTACCTCTATAGGCAAATTTGCGGTGGTTTCTAAGGTGTCCAAAGTTACACTGCGCGAGCGGGGGTGGTTTTGCGTGAAATCGACGCGGGCTTATACACCGGAAATTAGGGTAATATGATAATCGAAGGGCCTTGCTGCTGGGGGCGGAGCACTGGCCATGACGGTGTTCAGAAAGGAATGGCAAGCCCTGAACGCTGCAGCCAGCGCACCTTTGGCCACGAAAACGCAACATTTCGTTTCCTTCGCCCCCTGACCACTGCTTCCAAGATGCATGTACTTCCACGCTGCATACACAATCTATCGTAATCTCTCGCTTTAAAGGCAAGATTCAGGATTAAATTATGAGGTAGCTCCACTCAAATGTGAATGCAGGGGTATTAAGTGGACCGCCAGTGGAGAAAGAAAAAAAATTGTGAAATGCACAGGAAATACGAGCCTTTTGCCCACGTTGCGGAGAAGTTCAAAAGGCTGTCAGGGAGATGAGAGATAATGTGAGTGCGGAGAGCGCTAGAGAAGTACGAGTAGAGACAGCATAGTAGATCAAGTTAGCGACGCAGACAAGATAAGGAGCGGTGGGCGGAGCGTGTCGCAACAGGTTGAGCGTGTCAAAGTTCTTAGCGCCTAGCGTAAGTGGCGCTTTTCGAAGTAATGAAGTGACGCGACCTCTGCACTTGGGTACCTAGTGCTTCCAGCCACCGTAAAGGCTCATTAAGTGGGTCTGAGCCCGAACTTTGCCTTTAAAAGGGTGGAGGCAGTGTAGTAACCAGTCGCCGTCCGTTCCCGTGTCCCTCAATCTTAAGTTCTTCATAGTGCTTCCAGGGCGACGTGGCATGAGTGGTGACGATGTTTTGCTGTACTCCTCTGCTCAGTCAATGACAATCTTTGTGCCTTACTGAAGGGGAGGGCATTGCTTCGAAGCATTTCGTGTGAACTTCCCTAATCTCAATTGGCCCTTCAAACTTATGAACTGCTGACGGCTTCATTCCTGCCCCTTTGAGTTTTATTTTGCATTTTGCCCAGGCGTTTTGTTAGATGATGCGAAGAAGCGATTGCGAGCCACGAGAAGAGGATCTTTGGAGGACGACGGAAGTCGCAGGTGGGCGACTTAGTTTCTCATCCCCTCAAACCAAGCCCAGAAGGAAGAAATGGAACTGGGGAGGAACGCTGGGAAGGGAAAATTGCTCGCACAGCCCGAGGCCGGGAATATTCTGAAGACGGTGAGGGCATTGAACGAGGGTCTGTCTCTACTCATAGAGGGGCGGATGGGAATATTTTGCTGTAACACTTTCGTCAACGGCAGCATCTTTGCGACTAAAAAATTGCTGAAGTGCGACATGGGCAAAATTTCCCCTTTGACCCCCTGAAAGTGAATTCAATCATGTAAAGTCCTCATGGGATAAATATTGGTATTTTGGAAATGATATTCACGCTCACCTCTGATTTTTGCTTACAGTCACAGTCACTGCGCCATTACAGATGTTTTCATGCCCATGGCGTGAGCTTGTAACTTATTTACACTATCTTTCAGACTCGCTTGTAAGGTCCATCTGTATCTCTCAACGGAGATGGTGGTTAACCGTCCATCAGTGACCTTTTGCATTCCTCCATTGTACACTAAAATCATTTTTCTTCCCTGAATTCAAACTTTATTTATGTTTACTTTCCTATCCATTTCTGTGTGCATGAAGTGCCATGCAGCCCTTGAGGTGCTAAAACGCCTTTATGAGGCATGAGGTAGAATTTCACAACCTTAAAAATTGTCATAGACTTTGCTCCGTATCTTGATTGTTTTGCCGATGTTTACGGTGCTATTCTGTTTCTAGTTACTATTTATATTTTTATCCCTCGTTTATTCGCGCAGAAAGAGCATCACATTCTGAACACCCGTAACTTAAAAGCACAACTCAGACAAAACTCGTGTGAACGATTCTCTTCGGACTGCAGAATGAACGCCTTTCTTAGGAATAGTTGTTCTGGAGCCTAAATTATCAACGCCACGGTTGACTTTAATCACAAACCACGGCAAGAAGTAGTAGACTTCGAAGATATCCCAAAACTTCGAGCCTCTGGTGCGTGCGTGGTGCTTCACAAAGCAGTGCATAACGTGTTGGAAATCCATCCAATTCGGGAGGGGAGAGGAGGGGGAGGAAGGCAATCCATTATTTCTCCAATACTTAAGGTTGAGAACGCTCGACACGTAACCGACCCATTTGAAGTATACTTTTGATAAGTATCGGTGCATTATGGAAAGAATCCTGAGATGCTTTCACACTTCCGCCTGCCATGGTCCAAGGAAACGGTTGTGGATGAGGAGATGAACACCGCTGCTCAGGTCTCTAACAAAGGAGGTCGTTCAGGGTGTGCCAAGGCTTTTTTCGAACGGTTTTTTTAGTTCCTGCAATTCCTGCGTGCAAAAAACCGTTTTCAACGGTTTTCGCATGAACAGGGGCACATGCAGGAACTACAGAACCATGGTACGTTTTCCTGAACGACCCTCTGAATACCAAAAAATGGGTCCCTAGTTCGATTCCTCGTGGTGACAAAGTTTTGCATTTCGAGTTGACGCTTCAAAATTCGCGCAAAATGGAGTTGGTACGAATAATTATTACCATATTCATGATGAGGACAGTCAGTCACCCTTTAAATAGACTTTGATTTG